CGTGCTCCGGTGCCCTTAGATGTCGCAAAAGCGTTTGACAAAATCTGGCAAGATGGCTTGTTTAACAACTGCTTTGCTGTATAAACTTAATGTGCCTTATCAGGTGACGTGAGTGAGCTTATCAGCTCACTCACGTCACCAGAGCCTTTCTAGCCAATCGCCATTTTCGCTATCGAATAGAGAGAACTCGCTCCTAGAAGCGCTTCTTAAGGTCTGGAGTTTCTCAGGGCTCCGTCGTCTCCGTACTCCTCTTTACATTCTACACGAGTGACATCCAGAAGGACCAAGTATTCAAATACTACTCGCCGATGACATTGCACTTTTCATAGCCTATTATAACAAGAAATTTCTCACAAAATGTTCCAAAGAGCCGCCAATCGCTTAGGCAAATGGTTCCGCTTATGGAGAATCGAAGAGAATTCTGAGAAAATTGTAGCAATATACTTTCAAAGGAAAAAAAACGTATTGACGCTACTATAAGAGGGCCGAGACATCCCAACCTGCGAGTGGTAAATGCTCCGATGACCCCAATGTTGCCGTTCCGTTACACACAAACACTACATACTCACCTAGTACCACAAACACCGTTAGGACAACGAAGGGGACGCAGCGTGTCCGCAGATGGGCGCGCCACACACCGCGTACACACCGTACACCCATGTCGCTGGCGGTACCAGGGCCCGGCACCCCCTGTTCGCACGGCCGTTAGATAACTCATCTCCTTGCACTGTAAACTGTCGTAGGTGAACATCGATACGTAAGTAGCGTTGGGAATAATATATCATCACCCATTTTTACAGTTTGCGGTCTGAAAGGCTCCGAGTACCTGAGCTTAATGAATCTGTAAGAACGAAAAACGCTAACAGCACTAACATCATCAGAAACCAGATTACGTATGAAGTAGCCTTCAGTTATATTTTTTTTTTAGAATGACGGTAACAAACGAGAACATAGTCTACCTAATTGTACATAGGCTGCACTAAAAGTATCGGGAATGGAATATTTCCACTGTTCTTATTAAAATCTTTTTAATTGAAAAGTCCTTGGTTTTAAAAATCGAATACCATTTATTTATTTTAAAAAAGTTCTCGGTCTTGTCACAAGGTTTTGTCAAACTTGTTTAGTCGTTGAGAAAATGCAATTGACTCGAGAAAATTCAAGAGCGATGATTTATTATGACTTTCGAAGTGGTTTAACACAAAAACAGTATGTTGACCGGATGATTTCTGCATTTGGTGATGAAGCCCCATCCAAAAACACAATTTATCGCTGGATTGCTGAATTTCAACATGGACGTGTCAAGCTCAGTGATGATCCCCGTCAAGGTCGTCCAAAAACTGCAGTCACCCAAGAAAACGTTGATGCTGTGCGTAAGCTGATTGATGAAGATCAACATATGACATACCGCGAAATTCAGATAACTTTAGACATTGGCATGAGTCAAATACAAATAATCTTGCATGAACAATTAGGTGTAAAAAAGTTGTTTTCCCGATGGATACCGCATTCGCTCTGTGAAGAGCAAAAAGCGGCTCGCGTTACTTGGTGCGTCAGAACTCTCGTAAGATTCTCAAATCGCAGGATCCTCAAATCCTGTATACAACATCGTATTAGGTGACGAATCCTGGTTATACGCGTACGAACCCGAAACAAAAAACCAGTCACGAGTTTGGGTGTTCGAAAAAGAGTTAAAGCCAACAAAAATTGTTCGTTCACGGAGTGTTGCAAAAAAAATGGTGGCCACGTTTGTCTCCAAAACCGGTCATGTTACGACTATTCCTCTTGAGGGACAAAGAACGGTTAATGCAGAATGGTATGTTAGCATTTGTTTGCCACAGGTCGTTTTGAACTCCTTAAAGCGAACTGCAACCGCCGCATCATCCTCCATCACGACAATGCGAGTTCTCACACCGCACACAGAACAAAAGAGTTTTTAGAGCAAGAAAACATAGAATTATTAGACCATCCGCCGTACAGCCCCGATCTAAGCCCTAATGATTTCTATGCTTTCCCTAAAATAAAGAATAAATTGCGTGGACAGAGATTTTCATCACCTGAAGAAGCTGTGGACGCCTACAAAACGGCCATTTTGGAGACCCCAATTTCCGAATGGAATGGTTGCTTTAATGATTGGTTCCATCGTATGCAAAAATGTGTCAAATTTCGCGGAGAATACTTCGAAAAGCAATAAATACATTTTTAAATAGTAATGTTGTGTCACTTCCTTGATTCTCGAAATTTTCAGTGCCGCCCTCGTAAGTAGATATTGTGGACTATAGACATCTACATATTATGTCCTCGCTTAGCAATCAAAATGCAAATGCATTGTCACTCTCGAGGACTAATATGGAATGCTTTTTAGCAGTAGAAAGAGTCTACGGTTCTCTACACTCAAGATACAAAATACAGCAGTTTCATACTGCGTACGTTGGTATACTGTGAGAACGTGGTTCCTCCCTGGTCGAGACGATCCAATCGTGCTACAACTATTATATAGCTGCAGCATGACTCTACTACGTATACATAATATCTTATAATATCTCACATATACAGCAAAGTACGGATGTCTTGCATTGTGTTTTTTATTTATTACTCTTAGGGTATGTGGTCCTGCATTCACTTACCATCAGGTGTGCTGTGTGCTCGTTTATCACTTTTATTTTACAAATAAAATCTCTTAAATGTTACCCGTATATATGAGTTAAACATTTTTCATATTTTTATTCATAAGAGGGTTTGAAAGTTTGAAAGTACTTTAGTGGGATTGCCAATTCCGTAAACGAGCGCGATATATTTGCTGGTGATGGAGCGACGGTACCCTCGAGGCAGTAATTGCTTCTCTCAAGTGACATCGTAAAGATTAAATAAAAATTTTAAAGCTACATCTGTTGTATTTTTATACAAAAATTAAAGATATATTGGAGTTTTTCATTAATTAATTCATAACAACCTAATACATTGACTCGATCAAAAATTCAAGGCTGAAAATATTACGTCCTACATATTATGTTGCCTAACATTGGAGTATATTTGGTATAGTTGCGACGCTAGGTAAGCGATAAGATGCGGCTACCTGTCCGCGCTATATAATTTTCTTATTTCGCCATTTACAGCACACACGGTATGATTATGAGCTGATGGATGCTCTTAAACCACCGATACTAATAATGTAATACAAAAAATAATATCCCTATTAGTAGTGCAGGAAAATGAAATCCGTAGTAACAGTTTAGGTTCTCTAAGGGACTACAAGCATCTTTTTTTTTTAAATAATTAATTTGAAGAACATTGAAAAAATTAAACATATTTAAAATAAAAAAACACGTACTCTTGAAATAATTTATGACTTTGCAATTTTTTACAAACCCAACTTCTAACATTTGCGAGATTAAAGCTGAAACGTTTGTAAGTAAACTGACCTAAAATGTACCCATTTGTATTCCGCGCTAGAACCACGGTTACTATCCCAAGGGTATTGAAGTTTCGCAAGTTCCTTGGGATCCAATTAATGATGCGATTAAAGTAAATTAGCTTTGAGGCGCGAACGGCCGGCTTAGACGTGCAACTATTTATAGACTTCTAACTTATCTGAAATCATTAGATTCGTCTTATATAATAAAATTTCATTTATCTGTTCATATATAAAAAGTCCCATAAAAAGCATATAAAGTGTCCGTTTCTGAACATAGACCTCCTGAATAGATTGCGGGGTACTGGTCATAATTTCCTCGCTTTAGATGATTCTGATTTGATTGATTTTTTTTTTGAGTTTTATTATGAAAATGCTGCCCATCCTTTGTTTGATATTCCTTTGTCACAACACCCATGGGATGATATGGGGTAGTCGATTTTTACGCCACGTCTACACGGCGTAGCTTATAATATTAATTATATCTCTCTCATCTTATATACATAGTTCCAATATTACACAATCGAGTAATCAACTCTGCCTAGAGGAATGTTTAAGAAGCTACAATAACTAGTAGATCACGCATCAATTTACCACTGTCTGTCTATCGTTCCGGCTGGAATCTAGCGATTCAAATTACGAGCACTTCCCGATTAGCTAATCGGGACTTGAAATTTTGAACATAGCTCAGGATCGGATGATAATATAGAAAAAAGATATATGAAAAACGTGGTATATTAATTATTTTAGTACTTACAAATTTAAAAAAAAATCACTTCTTTTCGTATTATTGCGGAAACTTAGTCAGTACTAGCCTTAAAATTATTTCTGAAGGAGTACATTTATGAAGAAACATCATTAAAATACTAATACCAAACTTTTCAAACAAACAAAACAGAAGTTCAATAAAATGAAATGTAATATACACAGCTGTATTAAAAGGCAATCCACAAGAAAATAAAAAATCTAACGAAACAAACGCTGTCATGTTTGGATACATATCTTATTGCAGCGTTCATAATTTTTACTATTTCCCTGTCTCGTGAGTCATATATGAACATTATGATTGTTTAAGTAACTATTGTCTCTTTTGCAGACAGGGAAGTTGTCAAGCCAACTTAAAAAAAGGAGAAGTTTCCCAATTAAACTGGATGCTATTTTTGTACGTATATATATACGATATCTTCTTCTATTGTAAAACAACATTTAATATTATTTTCATTGAATAGTTTATAATTCATGGGTGATACCATTAAATTTTGGCAAAAAAATCTACACTTATGGGATGGCAAAGAGGCGATGAAGTTTTAATTTTACGAGTATCTCTCTTCGCTTATTTAGACGACATTTCAGTTGTAGCTATGAGGTTGTGATGTTCCTTAGTCCACTTAACAAAAGGAAAAAAATACTTTTAATAAAAAATAAAACTCAACTTTAAATAATGAAAAAGATTAAAATAATTTCCACACATCTGCTTCTGAAGTTGGCGCGTTAATTATTCTAAACCCTTTGAATATTTTTTTTTATATATGTTTTTATTTTGTAGAAAATTTCACTAAATGAAAATGTAAGTTATTAATAATCCTCCTACCTGTAAATTGACGTATGGTGCATCAGCCATGACTGTTGGTACTATGAAACCTCCCTCGCCCGTAGACATGTCGATGTCTTGACTATAGATATCGGTTTTGTCGTCATACAGCTTTACTCGAACTCGAACTCGTTTTTCGGTACTCATAGCTTCCACCTAAACAAAAATATAGTTGAATAAAATACTCTCTTAATATGAATATTTACTCATCATAAATATAAATGAATGATTTCTTATATTAACGTGAACACAACACATAGTTAAAGTAAAATTTTTAGTTACAACCTATATATATCCCACAGGTGGACACAGGTTTCCTCTCATTTCTAATAGGTTTTATGGCAAGGTAATGTACGCCGCGCTGCCCCAATGCGTGTTTGGCGAACTTCATATGTTTTATATGTTTATTACTTAGACATGCAGGTTTCCTCACGATGTCTCCTTCATCGCCGAGCTCGTGGTAAATTAGCACTTAAAATTACAATTAACAATTTTATTGCGATACGATATATATACGATATATCGAACCCGGCTTGCTCGCGTTCTGTGAAATTCACTGCGAGCGCTTAGCCTAAGCTACCACGGCTATACTATACATGGAATAAAACGAATATTACGAGTTTTATCGCGTTTCATTTTAACCAAAAATTTGATTTCAAACGTCTTCCGCCCTGAATATTATCACTTTCTACGTTTAATCTATACTCGTACAAATAAATAAAATTGAAATGTCTGTTTGTAATATCAAAATTACAGCTTTTTACTAAATCCATATGAAAGTATATACAGTACTAATAACAAAAATACAATTTTTAAAAACGGTTAGACCGATTTTGACGGGATTTTCACTAGCAGATAGTTGATGTCACAAAGAGTAAGTGAGGCTACTTTTATTTTAGAAAATGAATTAGGATTCCGCGCAAAAAATTAAAACCCCAAATAACACGCGGGCGAAGTCGTGGGGAACAGCTAGTTATCAATAAAAATTAACAATTAGTAGCATAGTGCCACTGCTTAACGTAGACCTTTCTTGCAGACTGGGGTGGATATATTTGCTAGAGACCCGCTTGCCTGGTAAGTTGGCAACCGCAGTATTTTATTATCTTGAGTTGTTATCAGAAATCTTCTACCCATCTCCTGTTTCATCTCCCTCTGCCGCTTCCTAAGACATCTACGGGATCGTGATATAGGGTACCAAATTCCTTTACGCCGCAAGAATAGTAATATTGCCCTCTAAAAAACACATAATGCCGATTTACTATATATGATGAACTGTGTGCTAATTTGTCACTCTTGTGAATGATTAATTAATAATAACACAGCTTCTTTTAAAGAGTGGGACCAGCTAGTGGTTATTTTAACTGGTTTATTATTCTGCACTACCTCACCTGGTGACCATGGTTTAAATGAGATTAGTATCTTGTCAGCGACTAGGACTTAATTAAGCCTTAAATTTTATTCAACGCGGCTTGGCTTATGTCCAAAAATGCGCGGACAATGGACAAGTACATTTGATTTATAGCAATTTAGTGTATAATATAAAAACTTACATTTTGTAGCCAGAAATAAAAAAAAATACTTATATAGCGTCTTTTTCTCTTCGCCATTTAAATGAAAACTCTATTGTGATAAAGGGTTTATCATCTGGTCAGTTAGTATAAAAAAATCTTTAAAACTAAACTAAAGAAATTCAGCTGAGAACAGATCTCTCATATATATGAGAGTTTTGGAGCAAGAAAGTCTGTCGCGCTGCCTCAACGTGTTTTGTCAAAATTTCACAGATGCTCGGAATATTTATGATTTCTTGATATACAAGTTCACTCACAATATTACGTATTAATTTGTTGTATCTACTTTAATGCTGTGTAATTAACTTATATTCGACTCTTTTAAGTTGATTATAAGAAAGGTATTTCTTCATCACTAATATTCATTTTATGTGATAATTACCTTTATTGTACGATCAGAGGAAAAGAGTAACGGTACGTGTACACCAAAACCGATTTTGTCAGCCGATGGCGGATAGAACTACCCGGACGAGTAACTCGGACGTGTATGTGCGTACACTCCAACAGTGTACCACGTGTGCCGACATTGAACGTTGCCGGTATTCTGTAGTTGACTGTGTTGCTTTACAGAGTGAAGACGCATTTTTTTAACGTCTAGAACCGCTACATCAACGGATTAGGTGTACGCGTACCTTTCCGTCATCGGCCATCGGCCGAAGTTTGCTCTTGCGATGACGGCCGAACTCGGACGATCGAATCAAGCACTTGTAAAAGAAAGAGAGTGCGTACACAAACCTGACCGTCATCGTCCGATGACGCACGACATCGGCCGATCAACCGTTGAGTCCGAACTTGTTGGGATTTCTCGCCAGATTGCCGGAGTCTACAGTGCAAATTGAGTGTATTTATAGTTTAATTTAATCATTCTGTCTTTATTCTATTGTTTTTGCCAGTGTTGTTATCTACCTAAGCGACTATGGATATTGAAAAATTAATTAGTTTCGAAACGGTTATGGGCTGAAGTTGGATCGGAAATAGATGTAGCGGTTCTAGACATTAAAAAATGCGTCTTCACTCTGTTAAGCAACACAGTCAACTGCAGAATACCGGCAACGTTCAATGTCGGCACACTTGGTACACTGTTGCAGTGTAACATACACGTCCGAGTTACTGGTCCGCAGTAGTTCTGTCCGCCATCGGCCGACAAAATCGATTTTGGTGTACCTACACGTACTATAACAGTATGGTACGAAAAAGTAACTGTGTATTAATAATAAAATAGCTAACACTACTGATATCTGTGCTATGAGGACATCTTTATATGAACAAGCGTTGGTGTATCTGCAAGTGATTTGTACCTTCTGAACGACTTGACTGATTGAGGTCATATTCACACACTATATTAATTTTGTCAACACAATGGTTTAGCGCTGCTATGCTAATAATAACTTCTTTAATTATGAACTACACTGACCCTTTATCGTAATATATTATGTTAGTTTAGTTTTAAACAATCAAATCACGAAATCTAGACTGGATATCACCAAGTTATTAATACATTTTATATTTATACTGTATGTATACATTCGTGAGCTCAGAGCGAAACTCATCGCGCCACCTACCGGAAAGGACAGAGTAACGTCTGCCGGGTAGGGTTGTATTATATAAGAAATCATTAGGTAGTAAATAAATAATATTAACCTGTTTTATCCAATGAAATCGATTTTACCGTTAGTGCATCCATAAGATTAAAGTGGCATTAATTTTCAATATATTGGCCAAGGGAGCATTCAACTGCGTCAACTATCTGATAAAAGTTCTCGCAGTATTTAATATCGTAGTAAAATATAAATCAATTATAATAATCATCATTACATCCCTTAACAAGTCCACTGCTGAACATAGGCCTCCCCCAAGGAATGCCACAAAGCACGGTCCTGTGAGTCACCTCCATCCATCGACTTCCTGCATATCTTACCAGGTCGTCACTCCATCTAGAGGGGGGACGCCCTACACTTCGCCTGCCGGTACGAGGCTGCCACTCGAGAACCTTTTTTCCCCATCGGTTGTCGGTTCTTCGAGCTATATGGCCGGCCCATTGCCACTTCAGCTTACTAATCCGTTGGGCTATGTCTGTCACTCTGGTTCTACTGCGGATATCCTCATTTCTAAGTTTATCACGCAGAGAAACTCTGAGCATAGCCCTCTCTATAGCTCGCTGAGCGACCTTGAGCTTCCTCATCCGGCCAGCAGTGTAGGACTACGTCTCAGTTCCATAAGTCATCACTGGCAACACGCACTGGTTGTACAGTCTCGTTTTCAAGTTTTGAGGTATACCTGACGAGATGTGCCGTAATTTCTCGAAAGCTAACCGAGTTGAAACCATCGATTGACCTCTCAGTCGAAGTTGGACTTACCTAGTCGGACTATTTGTCCCAGGTAAACATACTCGTCAACAATTTCGAGCTTAGTGCACCCAACAACTACCGGCATAGGTGTGACATGGACATTAAACATGATCTTTGTTTTGTCCATGTTCATCTTAAGACCTATCCGTTGGGAAACACTATTGAGGTCATTGAGTATAGTGCTAAAGTCCTCCAGCGATTCTGCCATAAGGACAATATCGTCGGCAATTCGAAGGTGAGTGACGTACTCGCTATTGATGTTGATATCATATCCTTTTCACTCCAGAAGGTTGAAAACGTCTTCCAATGCAGCGGTGAAGAGTTTCGGGAATATGACGTCACCCTGTTTTACACCTCTCTGCAATTGGATAGGTTTCGTACTCTAGTTCTGTACTCGAATAGCCATCGTATCCCTACTGTACAAGCACTTCAACACTTCGATATACCGACAGTCAACTTGGCACCGCTGAAGGGACTGGATATAATGATGATGATTATTAATCCATATACGCCAGACATAGTGGCAAATTGTACTCCTCGGACTTCTGTACAATTTGCCGAAGGGTATGTATGTGGTCTATGGTGCTAAAGCCTTTTCAGAAACCGGCTTGTTCGGGAGGCTGGAAGTCGTCAAGTCTGCAAGCGAGACGATTCGTAATGACTCTCGAAAACAGCACGTAGATGCGGCTCAAAAAGTAAATCGGTCTGTATTTCTTCAAGAGAGCGTTGTCGCCTTTCTTGAAGAACAAGACCACCGCACTTCTGGTCCACTCCTCCGGTGTAATGCCACCATGGAGGACGGAATTAAAGAGCTTCTGAAGGACTTCAAGTACTGGTTTTCCACCCGCTTTCAGAAGCTCCGCTGTAATTCCATCCTCGCCTGGGGCCTTGCCGTTTTTAAGGTGCTGGAGAGCCATTCTAATCTCGCTCAGACTGTCGTCCGGGATATCATCGGAATAATATCGGATAAGACTCGCTCTTGGATCGTTACTCACACTTGCGTGTGGCTCCAACGATGATGTGTACAGTTGCCCATAGAACCTCTCAATCTCACTCAAAATCTCAGGTGTCCCGGAAACGATGCTGCCACATTCTGTCTTCAGCTTTGACAGTTGGCTCTTTCTGGCAGACAGATCTCTGGCAAAGACTTTGGAGCCTTGGTTCCGCTCGATCGCTTCTTCAATACGAGCTGTATTGAAGTTGCGTAAGTCCCGCCGCATGCATTTGGAGATCTGTTTGT